GTCACACTAGGCTTAAGCCATAATTTTTAATAGTTTTTATCTTCTGTCTCAGAAAAAGGAGACGTTATAAATAAATATTAGAGAATCACCAAATGAAGTGCAATAAAATCACGTCTTCTTGTGAAATCTGTTCTGCGTTTTCTTGCACTATCAACTATTATGTTTTCATTTGTGAAGAAAAATAAAATTATTTCCAAAATCAAAGTTGCAGGGGTAAGAAATGACGTGACGAGCTATTATAGTGTACTGTCCTCTCACATACGGCTGTTGGATCTAGGGATTTGATTTCTAGACTCGACATTAAAGAAATGGAAATAGTTATCGTATGAGTGGGAAACATACGGTACTGACTTACAGCACGTACTGGGGTACGACATGCCGTAACATTGAAATGGCTTCCCATAAGAATGGTTATSGTATGGGTGGGAAACATACTGACTTACAGCATGTACATAAAACACWACMGAGAATACAAATCATGATTAATTATTATACATTATTATTTATTTACGATTTTTCAATGTATAACAMATTTGATGTTACTYGTTTTCTGGTTACTCTGTTTACTCTTTACTCATTACTCCGTAACTCGTTTTAGTAGCACCCTATCGGTGTATGGGAAACGTACGGTACTGACTAACAGCACTTTCAAGGTCTATGGTATGCCGTAATATTGAAATGGTTTCCCATAAGAATCGGTTAGCGTATTAGTGGGAATCATACGGTACTGACTTAAGCCCCTCTCACACGGTACAATTTCTCGTGCAACAGAGACACGTTGCACGAGCATGCCACACCTAAATTTTTATAAAAGCTGTTGCGGAAAGTAGAAGACGTTTCTACTATTGTCAGTGGTCTCACTGGTATAAATGTATGAGAATTGATTAGCATATCAATCATTCCACTTCAAGCCTGCTACGGCTCGGACGTGTTCCTTCTAGCTCAGGCTTTACCAAGACTTCGAGCTTTACTGAGGCTTTGAACAATGTCTAATACTCTGGAAGTACCGCAGGACAGGGTCGTCGAAGCGCTTGGAGCTGTCCAATGTAAACACAATGAAGAACCAGTTCAAGATATCCCAGGAAGATTTCACCGACCGAAGGGGCAGACTCTCCAGCGCTTCTTAAGGCAAATATATTTTCCCTTTTGTTTTTGTTTTTGTTTTATTTTCATATTAAACTCCGGTCAAAAGAAAAGTAGTTTATGKYCTTTCGCTTCGTGTGGTTGTGTTTTAAAACGGAGTAGTGGTGTTTGTGGAAATATGTTTTGCCTCTTGCCTCGTGTGGTTGTGTTTCAAAACCCTCGAGTGGCGTTTGTGAAAAGTTTTGCCTTTCGCCTCGGTGGTTGTGTTTTAAACCCTTGAGTGGCGTAGTGGGCTTAGTGCGAATATTCTTTCGATATGTTCTTTGCGGTTGTGAAGCATTTTACATTTTTTTTTTCGTTTGTAAGTTTAATAACAATATTTGTGTGGTGGTAATTCATGCACCCTAAGTTGTTCAAAGTCTTTTGTTTGCTTTGCGCACCGTTAAGCTTTCGCGGTCCCTCGTGCAAGTTATGCACGGGTTTTTCTTTCGTTTTCCAGGAGCACAAGGCTCTCTTTGGAGCATTCCATTTTTGTGTAGCTGCGATAAAAATTGCTGTATTTCGATATWGGGTCTAAAACGTGTTTGCCCTCCCGATCTAGGATGACAGTTTTGAAAGGGAGTCTAATTTTCCAGTCGGATTACTGGCGCTCAAGACTGTCATTCCCTGAGCCACTTCCTCCTT